GTTATGCAAAACCAAAAAGCTTTTATCTTCTTTTTCATCCACTCTAAATCTTCCTCTCGCTTTCATCCACTCGCATTCATTTGCATTCTGGACCGCGCTCCGTATCCTCTGACTCGGACGTTTGTTTGGCAGGAGGTACCCGACGGGATGCTGTTAACACTGCAAAAAGTGTCCATCTTTACAAGCCTTCCTGTGTTAACATCTTAAAGCTGTTCCAAATGAGGTGATTATAACTCCATTTGTAACCAAGAGCTTTCTCCTGTGTGAGTCTCTCTCCTTTTTCTTTTTTTTTAAGCAAAAAGTGCAGGTTTTATTTACAAACTGAGGATGGGGAAAAAAGTGGGAATTAATAAGTAGAATTATATAGATATAGATATAGATATAGATATAGATATAGGTATAGAGATATAGAGATATAGAGATATAGATATATATGTCTCAGATGCACGTTTGATCAAAAAAAAACTTTCACAGATGGACACTCTTTGCAGCGAGTGCTGTCTCCCTTCCTACACCAGAAGGGAGTAAAAACAAGCCTTTCCCTGGTCAATGAGTTCACTGGGGCGGACGTCTCCTTAGACAAGGCTGTGGGGGGGAGGTGTTGGATGAGGGGATTCAAAAGTCTTGCAACCAAAGAGAAAAGAGAAGGAGTGAAGGAGAGGGAGGGAAACCTGGCACCGAGGCAGCTCAGAGACCCGGGCATTAGAAACAGAGAGCAAGGGAAGGTCAGCCTGCCCACTCCCCCTTCCTCTTCTTCTTCCTACTACTGCATCAGCAGATGTACTGCACAAGCCCGTCATCAATACTGCCAGACCACAGCCACAGTGATAACAGGAAAGTCTGTGATGAAGCATTTACACGCTAGATTGTGTGTGTGCTTTTTATGTCAGCAGGCAGTGAAAGATGAGATTTTACATCTAAGATCAGCTATCAGCAGAGAGGCTTACGGTCATCGGCGAATGAACTGATGCTAACAAGGCTGTCCTCTGGCTTGAAAGCAGCTTTGTCCTTCTAAGGAGAGAAGGATCACCCTCATCATCATCATCACCATCACATTCTATACTAAATCAGCATCTCCTGCAAATGGCGCTCGGTTTATATCTCCAAGCTGCTGTCCTGAAAGGAAGAAAAGTCATGTTGTGCATTAACCTAAAGTTAGGTAGGGCAATCAAAGATAGTTCATCAAGCTAAAGTTTGGCAGTACAAATGTGTTATTTAATTCACCAAGTGTCCTTGAATGTGCATTTAGCTGGACTGTGATGGTGTAAAGTAAAGCTGCAATTAAGTTTAATATCTTTAGCCATTAATCAACCGAGAAAAATTGCCATCCTAAGTCCACCAGAATCCAAGCTGTCACATCTAAATTTACAGTCATATTTCACATTTTAGAAGCCAGTACCAATAAAGACCTTTCTTTTTAAAGGAAAAATAAAGAAAATTTTGTAGTAGAACTTAACTGAATTTTACATGGTTTTTACTTTATGGTGCAATTTTCTATCATATGATAGACTCAAACGTTATATAATAATATACCGATGTCCTCTGTAAATGTTTGCTATTCACTCTCCTTACACTGTATGGGAGTTGTACTAAACAAAGACTGTATATAAAAGATGGTTGTGCTTTGGGGTTTGTAAAGCTGGTGATGTCACAATAGCTACAGACATCTTTTATATTCTCTATGGTAACAGACAAAAACTGTATATAAAAGAAGTTTCATGGTGTGGAAAGTAAAGCAAGTCTAGATTCCTTCTAACAGCCAGTAGGGGGTGACTCCTCTGTTTTCAAAAACAAGTCTCCGTACAGAAGTCTTAGAGACAATGATCTTTGAGCTCCTGCCTGCTAGCTATCTTGTTTGGGTCTCACATCTTAGTCTTACTAAGTGCATCATGATTTTCATTTTGAAAATGATGCTCATTAACGAGTAAAAAGGGGGGGCTCTAAACTGTACTCAACATTCAGGGCACACCTACTTAACTCATACTCTCCAGCATCCATTAAAACTTAGAAATTACCGCCTCAATTGTGCAGCGTATGCTTCTGAACAGTTCTGGAATACATTTAAAATAAATCCCAACGGAATCATACGATCAATCCCACTGCAATTTCCACAGAAACTGCATAGTCTAATTCACCACCATTGTTTTTATTCCCTTGTATGTGATTTTATTTCTGTCATACGTACTGATTTGTGTGTCTGTGGATGAAATTGTCCACTTTTAAAGTCCACTTCTGGATGTTTGAAGGGTTTGTGTCACGCTGAATCAATTTGCCTACACATGTCACACATGTCTGTCTTATTATCTTAATGCTAATGGCAACTGATCTCCTGTTTTTATGACATTAGAACTCCTTTTCTGCTACTCAACTCGGTTTTTAGGGGGTTCCATTAAGTGATAAAGCCTGGTACCAGGTACTTTATTTAATACCTACTCAGAAGGGGTTTCAGGTGTTCTGAGTCGAAAATTTGACATCAACAGACTGCACGCCACTGATTGGCCAGTCAGTGGCGTCACTTGACAAGTCTCCTTCACAAAAATAAAACTGGCTATTTAAGGTGCAGACACTTATTGGTTTAGCAGCAGGTATAGCATCGCCCTAATGTCCTCCATTGTTGTGTTTTTGAGTTACATACAAATGACAAGACAGAACTTTTGGCTACATTGCTATAACGACCCCAAACACTTTAAAAAGGTACTCAATTGTAATGGAAAATGACCAAAAATGAGTGGAACAGAGTTGAATTGAGTAGAGCCGAGCAGTTATTAGTGGAAAAGAGGCTTAAGGGGTAAAACAAAGATCAACTGCCCCACTTGGATCCCACTGGAGCTTTAGGCAACAAGCGAATACATCTCCTCAGCAAAGTAACAAAGTAGCTATCATAGACTGTATATCAGAGATGGACATTGGCACTGGTTTATGGAGTCACTGGAGCATCAACTTGAACATTTTTGTTGGTCTGTTTTGGTGTTTTCAAAGTGTATGTAATGAGAAAGGGAAGGATTTAGGACCCTAAATTACAAATTAAAAACAACTACCAAAACTAGAAACTGAGACATTAAACTCATCAGGAAAATGTTTAATAGTTTCTTAAAGACTTCTGTTCGACTCCTGAAGCATCACCACCTTCTGGCTGTTAGAAAGAGTGCAGGTTTACGGCACTTATACACTGGCGTTGATTTTTTAGATATCCCGTGTCTCCCGGTGCAGCATTAAATCAGATCAATGTGCTTGTTTGGTTGCGCTCTAAACACATATGCAGATGTTTGTAAAAGTGAGTGTTTGCTGTAGTAAAGTGCACCCGTTAGTGAAGGAGAAACCACATCAACCCAGACTGAGATCTTAAGGAATACAGCTCATGTCTGCTGAACAACTACAGATGTAGTCAACAACGAAATACGGAGAACAATAAATATCAGAAACTTTTGGCTCGTCTTCACCCGTTAAACCGAATAAACACCAGCTCACGACCCTCTCAGATAACCTGCAGGTATCTGTTTATTGAGATTATGAATCAATCTACTGTTTGTTAAATAAAAATTCAAACAATGAAAAATAAAAAAAATAATAATAAAAAACACAAACAAATGATTTGTGTGGCATTGGGACACATTTTGGGGTGTTTTTTTGCTTAAAGAAAACAGCTTTATTAACAGCAGATTAAGCTCTAATTATGCAGCATTCCTCATTTTGCATGTGACACTTTAGGCTGCACCTGTTTTAATAGTTTGGACGACTGAGCTGTAATCCTGCGCTATGAGCAAAACCAGACAAAAATACTGCCTTAATCGGCTTCATTTACGCCATCAAGGACCCTCAGCTTGGACACCCCTCACTTTATCTGCGAGTTGAGCTCCTGTATCAGAAGTGTGTGTCAGTGCTGCTGCCTGTGTCAGATTGGGACATTTGATGATGATCGTGTTTTGACCCACTTTACCCAAACAACTCTAACTGTTGCGTGTCTTAAGTCCCCTTTGGAACCAACCTTGCTTGTGATGCACACACACAAACACGGATGGAGCATGCCTGGATACGTGCCGGTGTCCTGTTTTATGATTGGGTCACAGCACTGATCTCATGTTTAGTGACTGGATCAGTGTTGATATCCCGTCCCTGCTGAGAACAACCCTCTTTAAGCCCTTGCTTTCGTCCCTTCCTGTGACACAGTGGGAACTGCGGGGCCCCATCTTCAACACGATGACAGTGGGTGGCCCTGCATCAAGAGTCTGTCAGTGCAGACGATTGCTCCAAGGGTATGAAATAAATGTCTTCTTCATCATAAAACCCCATGTGTTTTTCTTTTTTTTCCTCCTTTTTTTATTTTTCCACTCTAGTTCACAGGAGCATCAGATGTCATTTACAGGCGAACCCACTTCTATTAAGTGAAAATCAGCAAGAAGGGAGAGAAAACCAGAGACATGCACCAGGATTATGCAGTGACAGTGTGCAGAAAGGCAGCAAACCCTGCACAGTGGCTCTCATTTAGAGGGAACAGGGCTTCACATGTGGCTTTCTGGCTCAAGTTTGCTCCTTACTGTAATAAAAATGTCACATTTTTACATTTTCACTCCAGTTCACATTTATTTAGCTTTTCCTTGTGAGGTTTTCAAGTTGGGAGCACTGCGGTGACCAAGTGGGAAAGTGTTTTTAATGATTTATTTAATCAAACCACTAGTGGAGAGACTTGCTGTTCAGTTACGCGGTGCCAAATTACGCACAACAGCAAAGAGCCATATCACAACCGCCAGCTCGTCTTTAACTTCTCCTTCATGAGCTTTCAGGGCACAAAATAATGCGTTTGTAAGAGTGTGAGCCGCTGCTGCTGCTGCTGGTGGTGGTGGGGCTGATCTGAACTACTAACCAAGTCTTAGAGAGATCAAAATTCAATCCCGTTCTGAGAAAAAACAGAAATGACGTTATTTGAATATGTGCCCAAAATCCTTAATGAATAACTTAGGAGGAGTAGGAGGCAAATGCTGCCCCAGCTGTTTCCTGTTGAAAATGTCTGTGTAATGTAGATAAATGTGAGGGATTTTCTCTCTAAATCCGTCTCCTGTTCGCTAAATCTCACTTCTCCAAAACGAGCCTGCGCAATGGAACAAAGTCGGAATATTGAGATGTGACATTGCCCGCATCTCATCCTCTTTCTCCCTGTTTTTAATGACTTTAAACAAGTTCATTTTCGTCGGGCTTTGTCTTGTGGAGACCCGTGGGGATGTCTAGCGCTTTTTCCTTTCAGTGGCATTTATGTGATGTCTTCAAGGTAACTTACCTGATTTCCTTTGACACTATACATTATCACCTTGATTCTTCACTTGCTCACTATTCGCACAGAGCATCTTCGCCTACTTTAAAAAGAAACAATAAAAGGGGATTCTTATCGCTTGCTTGTATTTCACAGCTTTTGAACGCATGCATTGGTGCGGATTTATTCACATTTTCTCCTTTTCATCCACTTATGGAACAACTCTCCCGCATGTCCTGGTAATCTATTTTATTTTAATTTTTTTCCAGAGATAATTATATTTTCTACATTTTGCTTTAATTGATTCTTTTTTCTTTTTTTTGCAATTAAAAAATCATTGACATGGATCGTGCATGACTTTCAGCGCAGGTATGAATTTGGACATTTTCCGTGCGCCCGGCGCTCTTTTTCCACCAGAAAGCCCTAATGCAGCTGTGCAACTTTCAAAGTAATTACTGCTGAGTCTGCATAATTTACGTGCTAAATATCTAACCTGATGCCTCTGCGGGGTTGAAAGACAGAGAGCGGGAGAGAGGAGAGATTATCAAGAAACACTTGCGGACATCGGGACTTTGCGGTTGTGATGTAGATGGATAACGTTCCGTGTTTATTCTCTTTATTATGTACATTTGGCCCAGTCAGCTTCCTCCGCGGGCTTTGGCGGGAGAGCCTTTTTCCATCTCACATTTTGGATCGGAAAGATCCCTTGGCAGCTCATTTATTCTCCTTTCTGAGTGTCGAAGCACTTTTGCGCCTAATAATGCGCTGACAGCTGGGCTTTGGCACATTTTAAATGTTAAACTGGTTGCTAATGATAGATAGCCTGTATTTAATTAATGTGATTAATGCGGATTGTTGTTAACTTGCTAAGACCCACTACACAGAAGCCGGGCGGATGGACGAGAAGGAGAGGAGGGGGGTATAGTGTGTTTTCAATTTGGACGCGCTCCGCTCGGTTACGCACAGGCGCTCCGGAGCATCAGAGCTGCTCAGCCTCCTGTTTGACTGACTCTGGCACCAAGTGCGAATCTGGATTTAATACATTTTCCTCCACATCTCCAAACTCCTGTAAAGTTACCATCTGTTTCTTTCCCCTTTTTAGCGGATGGAACATCCTGGATGCCCAACTTTAAGCTGGCTGCCTTTTTTTTTCAACCCTGTGTTTGACAGTGCAAGTGTAATACTGCCACTTACTGACGTGCCTTTGAGCAAGACACTGTGCAACAAACTGTCACAGCAGATGCGCTAAATGGAGAAGAGTGCATGAAGCTTTGAGTTGTGGTTGAAAGAAACTCTTTTTCCGATGATGCTGTGAAAATGTTCTTGCTCTCTCCCTGTGCGCAGAGTGCGATGTGCTGTATCTCCTGTAGCCACACCCTCTCACTACTGCTGTGCGTCCTCACCCTGACTCCGACGGCAACAGGGGCGGGCCCTGAGACCCTGTGCGGGGCGGAGCTGGTCGACACGCTGCAGTTTGTCTGTGGAGAGCGAGGCTTTTATTTCAGTAAGTGCACCTTTTTATTTATTCATAAAGGTTGGCTGTATATGTCCCAGAGCTCTCCACCTCCTGCGAGCTCATAAATAAAAGAACAGCCAGTTTGACATCTCGTCTTGGCTTTCCCTTAATGTTTTTTTTTTACTTCATTCATTCCTCATCCACTCTTACATCTTATATTTAAGTTCCCTGTACATTTGTTTTAATGCTACTCTCATCACCGAGGTCAAATTCTGAATGAGAAAAGTTAGATGAAATATGGAATAATGATAAGTAGCTCTTATTGGTGGCAAATCGCAGCTGTGACCAGAGGGAAAGGGCTTTAAGTGGAATTTGGCTATCCCCAAGAAAAAGGAGGGGTAGAAAGTAAATGTTGCAGTGAAGTTTTTTCTTTTTTCCACCAGAGAAGGGAGAGCCACCCAAAGAAAACCCTCGACCAAGAAACCAGGATTTAAATCTCCAATTTTTCCATTAAGGGTACAACCTAGCCCAGAGCAGCACAGGATATATGGAGCTATGAAGGTTAGGTGCAATGTTCCACCGGCAGCCAGAGTTTCTCAGGACATGTATCCTGCTCTGTCTGTCAGAGACGAGCAGCACGACTGTACATTAACAGTATAGTTGGCTCCCACAGAGCTGAAGGTTAGAAGCTTATTATTCATTTTTCTCTGGCTGGCATCCATCAATTAAGCCAGTTTCAGCAAATGTCCTCAACGAGCATCACATCTCCACCAACAGTCATTTCTTATTCATAAAATTATTAGTTCTCCCTATGACTCCTGTGCAGTTTTGTCATAACAATCCATTTTAAATGGTTTGGTTTGGTCCCAAAGTTATGAAAGATTTTCCACATGTGGTAGACTTTGTCAGCTGCCAGTTCGAAAAACAGAAGAAGATATAAGATTTCTCTTGGAGATCAGCAGCATCTATAATGCATTTGCAGTTCTTCTCTTTTCCAGTAATTGATTTCTTTCACCTTCGCTTGAACCCGAATAGTTTGAAAATATACCTTTTCAATCGTGTAGGACAATTAGAGGCCAGAAGAAGGTGGGGGGAGGGCAGTAGTGGTCTAAAGCCATGCTCAGGTTTAGCAGATAACTTTACTGCGTTCAATAACTTAGTTTGGCTTGATAACCCATTAATCTTTTCCTAATTATCACTAAAATGTAGCTGATTGAAATGAATTGGATAAGCAGAAGAGAATGGATGGCATTCACAAGCCCAGTCTAAATGCAAGCAGCATAGACTTCACCGTATAAATAATAAAACCTAAAACCTACCCTGCTTTATGGTCCTATTTGACCATAATTTACTACGTAGTCATCCTGTTGCATTAGCTAAAAACCAATAATCGGCAAAGTGTTTACTGAAATCACAGATCGCAGGAGATGAGGGTCATCTTCTAATAGAATTCTACGTAGTCCGACTTTTCCCATTTTTGCACCAGAGGAGTCGCCCCCTGCTGGCCATTAGAAGAAAAAAAATGCAGGTTTAAGGGACTTCAATACAAATATCGTCTATACACTCTGGTGTTGAAACAATGCTTAACAGCTGGATTTAAATCCTTAACTGACCTAAACCAAGTATTGTGGTGCTGTGATTCCACAATGTGTGGGCCAGCTTTTAAGGGTACTGCAGGGCCCACTACCTCAAACTAGGAAATACCTCATCTTCAGTTCATGTGATGATCAAAGTTGCAATTATAGGTTTGGACCACAGGGCGACGTCTACTAATCTAAAGTATTTGTGAAAAAATTACGGCAACACACTAGGTCATAGTTAGCACTGCAGTTAGTAAGAAAATATCATGACGTATACAAGTCGACTGGCTGATTCTTATATAGAGCTTTTCTACTCTTTCAGAGTACTCAAAAGGCTCTATACAACATGCCACATTCACCCAATCACACCCATTCCACAAGAACTTTCTCTATTCATAGTGCTTTCTAACTACATTCACACACATGCATACTCCGATGGATGCATTGGAGAGCAACTTGGGGTTAGTATCTTGCCCAAGGACACTTGGCATGCAGACTAGAGGAGCCAGGGACCGAACCACCAACCTTCCGATCAGTAGGTGACCTGCTCTTCCTGAGCTACAGCCAACCCTGTAAAGAACATCATGATATAACAGCCTGAGTATTTCAGCTGAGAGTAGAAACATTAAAACGCTGAGTCTCTTGCAGCCATAAAGCTTTCTTTTTGTTCAATTCACATAATAAATCCACCATAGTTCTTATTGTTGAAGGGTTATTTCCATCTGCAGATCTCTACATGTGGTGGCATGGCTCTGTTCTGGGACCTTCCCAACTTTCAATATGCATGGAAAGGTGTGCCATGGAAGTGAGTTCTAAAGTGGCGTGCAGATGTATATACTGTAGATGTGTATAGCAACTGGGGACAGACTAATAGATGGGATATGCTTTAGGCTCGAGTCCATTTGTGTCATGTGATGCGAGTATGAGGCTCTGAGGAGGCGTCTGTGTGCCTGGTAATTTACACGAACACAAAGATTTTACATTACCCTGCACCAACTACACTTGCGCCCTTCAGTCGGACTACAGAGACATAACAAGAACCATTGCTTGGCCGTGGTGTCTCTTCAGCTATCTGTAGCTGTATCAGAATATAACAGACTCTTCATGCAGCTTAAATATAAGGGTTGGTCAACTGGATTTGTACAAGTTTATCAGCTCAGCTATCAACTGCTCTCGTCTGGCACTGAGAATCATCCAAACTGTGCTTTGATGGGACTAGCTACACCTGTCATGAAAAACGTCTGACACTGCATACAAAGTGCATTATGCAGGAAAGTGTTTACAGAACTCAAGTCAGAAGGTAATTTTCCCAAAGACTTCTATAGGACCAGAAGTCTTTTTCAAACTACAGCTATCACCCTCTACTGGCCTGGAAAAAAAATGCAGGTTTAAAGCACTTTCATGTTGGCTTCTCTTTTAAAAGCCAGAAGCTACTCTCAGATCAATTTCCTGCTTTCTACCAGCTTGTTTATGTATGACTTTATTGTTTCGAAGAGATTGGAAATTAAATAGGCACAATACAATTCACACATCACTGTAAAATCTCTCTCTTACCCCTTCTCTAACCTTAACAAAGGGTCTGAGTTGCATAACCTAAACCATGTTTCTGGCTGTTATGCTAAGAGATTGAACAAATTAAATCATTTTAATTCTTTGGAATTCGGTCTTCTGAATGTAAATAGATTTCTTTACAGATAGCAGTGTCAGCATGCACCTTGCTGTTCCTCTCCCCGAATCCTGCTCCTTGCAGCTTTTCCAGGACCAGTCCACATCATTCTCTGCGTCAGGGCCTCTGTATGGCATTTGCAAGAAAGTTTTTTGGAGAGCCACCAAGCTACTGCAAAGCTGCGAGCCGTGTTCGTCCAGAAGCTCCTGGCAATACCCACATGCTGTGAAGTGGTCTTGACAGCCAGTCCGATTGCCAGTATTCTGCCTGTTAAGACTTTTTGGTCTTTGGATTCCCTCGGCTTCAGCGTCTTCTTCTTTAAATGGTTTAAGAAACAGAGTCAGAAAAAATTAACTACATGATCAAACATAACATTTTAATAAGTGCAGGCCTTGGATTCTGAGTAAACAGGTTTGAACTTTGGCATCTTTTTTTCCTTAGCAGTCATTTTTTTAAAAAAACCCCAACTCTGAACATTTCATTTCTCCAATTTTGAAATGGTCCCGTGACCTGTCGGCAGCTGTAGCTTAAAAGTTTTTGATATGTTTAGGATTTTGACAAGGTATGAGAGTGTTCAGAGCCGGGTGATGTGGGAATGTGACAAAGGGTTGGATACTGATACCGGAGTTTAACTGCAGTTTATTAAATGGGAAAGTGTTGAACAGAAGCCAATGCAACTCATGAATCCTCATGTAGAATATACTTCTTAAACAGGAACAGACCTTTTTGTGGTGGTTGGTGGAACGTATTTGTCTTTCCCACATTACCTTACACTGAGCTGTCAGTGGACTACACAGCATCCATCTATCAATGCTACTTTTTCCTGTTAAAAAGAGGCGTATTTCATAAACACTCCATCCATTCTCTGAAAAAGATGACGAGGTTTGAGCAGCAGGGTGCCGTGCCTTGGAAAATATCCTTCTCGCCGTCGTCCTCGGTTTCTCTCGCTCTCTCATATTCTCGCTGTCATCCCTTTTCCTTTGCTTCTAGTCAGTAAAATATCTGGAGAATCCATTTGGGCTCTGTCGTCCATGGGACGCGGCAGAGTAACGGCTTGGCCAAAGGAAGCGTGATCCTTTCCCTGAACTCTTCCCCTCCAGTCTGGCCGTGTTGAACTTGGCAGCCCTCTGATTGATAATGTGTGCAGAGACAGTGTTGCAACAACAGCGGGCTTTATGTGCTCACAGTGCTTTTTGCCATGCCACCAGTAAAGTGAAGCACGCTTGTATTTCACAACTGCAGATTTCCTACCCTGACAGAAAACATTAGTTGGTGGAAATTCATTTTTTTAAAGGGTAATTAAACAAACTGCGGTCAATGAAACAGAGAAAAAAAAACCTGCAGTCAGTTTTTCCAATTATTAGCCCGACCTAAAAAATCCTTAGCTGTCTTTGTAATGCTTTAGCAGGCAGGACTGCGGGGTGATTTCACTGGGATGTTCATTCCATGAATCAGATCTGTTATGGGATGTTTTTTGGCTGAAGTGTGAGTGCTAAGTAGCTCTGCGCTCTAAGTCACTTTTAGTTCATGCTGAAATATTCAGCTGTTTTAGAGTGAGCACAAGATATTTAATCTTACTCTGTAAGACTTCTGCATAGTGTCTGCAAAGACGATGAAATAATCCATCCTTTTTTCAGCCAAAAGCTCATCGTCGCTACACAAATACCCAATAAGAAGGCAACCAAATATAAAATGCAGTGTGCTCAGGTGAGTTGAAGGTGGAAAGGAGAGTGGATGATGAGATATGACTTCCTTTTCAGTGTCTGTCCCTGCCAGTTTTATTCAGAGCCACTTGAGCTGGG